AAGTATGACTCCACATACGTCCTACGTGCCTCTTTTATTTCCGAGGATTCCTCCGACTGATCAGACTTTTGTTATGTTTAGAAACAGGTTCATTGCAACTAACATGCAATTGAAATTAACATGCCAACCACTTGACTTTTGTTTTAGTTTGAGAAATGTGTTTACATATTCTGTTAACAGACCTCCCTTGTTTTTCACAACGGTGTATTTTGAGTTTTTTTTTTAATTCCTAACTTCAAAAATCTTTTTCTTTTTTTTCTTTGTGTGTTTTATTAAAGCAAACAATGAGAATCACATATTTACAAGATTTGATAAAGTGAATAAAAATTAAAAATAAACAAATAAACAAAGAAATATAAAAATTAAAAAGCAGACAAATGGTATATACAGAAATGCATGTACAAGGCAGCAATATACATAAAAGTAACACTTTCTTTGCATGAGTACAGTAGTCGAGAGGTTGCAAAAATAAACAAATACAAAAGAGAGGGAGGGGTATTAACAAAGCGTGAAGAAAAGAATACTAAACATCAAAACGCCATTTCTTAAAGTGAATAGGTAATTTGTTTCTTTTCTTGGCTAAATGATATTCAATTTCCTTCTGTTTTTTTCACAAAGGATCTAAAGGACACACAATTAGGAAGATTGTCATTAAATTTACAACAGTATATATGATATTTCAACAGTAAAAATAAAAATGAGATGAATTTATCACCACAAACTCAAAATACTTTTTCAAAATTAGAAATATTGAAATTGGAATCACATTTTTGGCGAATCACTGTGGTCACATAGAGCACAATAGGTGATTTCTTCCTTTTTATCTTATAAAGAAAATCATTCAAAGCAATTGCTCTGTGGAAAATTTTAAAATAAAAAGATCTAATTTTATTATCAATAGAGCAGACAAAATTGTATTATGGACCTTTTCCCAGTTAGTGTTAGGAGGTACTGGTAAACTGTTATTCCAATAGGCATCTCTTATCAGGGCTTTGAGGACCAAGTAATAAGCTATACACATTCTTAGGAACTTTTGTAAAACTCAGTAATTTAAAAACTGTATCATGAACACCAAAAATGTCAACATCAAAAGTAGTTATAGCAGTGAGTATGGGGACGGCCATAGGTTTTGTACACAAATATTTTCGTACTATTTCTAATTGACTCGTGTACATTAACTTTGACATAGTCTATTTTCGAGAAAAAACGGACTTATAACACGCGTGTCTATGGGGTTTTGTTGAGGTCTTGACTTTTCGAATTTAATTAGGGATTTGTCATTTTGGACTTGTAAATTTTTTCGAAAAAAAAACTGAATTATAACACGTGTGTCTATGGTAGTAAGACTTTATGAATATGACTTAGAGACTTTTCATTATCACCTAGACTTACAATTTTTTCGAGGAAAAAGTGACTTTTAACACTTGTGGTTATAAGTCACTTGTGACTCCCACGTCAAAAAATCAGAATGCTCATACTTTCATTAATCTCGACTTTATGTCCACACTTTCATTAATCTCGACTCTCATACTTTCACCAATCTCGACTCTCATACTTTCACCAATCTCGACTCCCATACTTTCACCAATCTCGACTCTCGACTTTATTTCATACTTTCATTTTTATCCATCCACTCCATACTTTCATCAATCTCGACTCTATTTCATACTTTCACCAGTCTCCACTCTCGACTCTATTTCATACTTTCACCAATCTCCACTCTCGACTCTATTTCATACTTTCACCAATCTCCACTCTCGACTCTATTTCATACTTTCACCAATCTCGACTATTCGACTCTCTCACGAGTATATGACTTTCTTTCTCCATCAATAGTTCTTTTCTCACTACTACCTTTACGACTTTTACAAAAGAAGCTTTGACTCCATAGTTGTCCGTTTTTGATAACGTTTATTATAATAATAGTATACACTGCAAGGTATATGAGAAACGAGTCACTGCAAGGTATTCACTGCAAGGTACATGAGAATCTTAAGTTATTTACTGCAAGGTATTCACTGCAAGGTACATGAGAATCTTAAGTTATTTACTGCAAGGTATTCACTGCAAGGTACATGAGAATCTTAAGTTATTTACTGCAAGGTATTTACTGCAAGGTATATGAGGATCGCAAGGTATAATCATAAATATACAAGATAAATTTACAAAATATAAAATCAAATATGTAATACAACAGTATAAAAGTTAATGAGATGAAATAACAGTATTCATGAAATGAGATCAAGAAAAAGACTATTAAAACATGAAAGATAGTTCATTATTAAAAGCCATAAGGAATGGTATCTAGATCATCCAAGAGAATCCGTTTACCGTACACGAAACGATGTGTTTTCGATTCGTTTCGTGATACAATAATTGGTCCTAATTTATCCCTTGCAATTTTTTCTTTGTTATGTACAACATCGATTTCATCATGATTGTGGACCATGCGAAGAATACTTGAAAAATTGATTTGGTCCACATTGCTAGAATTTAGTGTTATACCTCTAACTTTACTAATTTACTTTACTTTACTAACTGTACCGGAAATCTCTTTTTGCTGTTTACTGGACCATACCTTATAACTATATTGTTTAGGTCCAGCACTGACAAACCTGGTGATATAACTTCCAGAACCGAAATCCTTTTCAAGTTCATCAGTCATATCACCAAGATAGTTTCCCGTCTGTACACAGGGAACGGTTCCATCATCCAGATAGATGATGGAATCTGTGTCATAATATAACACATTACGTTGTAATTCCTCCAAATACGAATAGAGTTTCAAACGTGCATAACATGTTGTAAATGCAGCTATGACAACATTCGTATTTGGAAGAATGTCAATGAAGTCACCCACATTATCGTATTGGATACGCACCATCTGATCTGACACAAAATGAACGTCTATGATGATGATCGTCTGATCAGTCAACATATCGAAAAAGTCGGATGCTTTTGTAAGGTATTTTGTCTGCGTTAAGTTACTCCTTTGACCGAACTTACAATAGACCGAATTGAGACAAAACTTTGCTACAGTTCTCATTCCCGTATTGACTTTGATATTATCGGGATTGAGTTGTACACCTTCGTGTTCAAAGTATGACTCCACATACGCTCTACGTCCATCCTTTATTTCCGAGGATTCCAACGTTTGATCAGATGTCGGTATACAATCAGAAGGCCAACCACTGGACTCTTGTTTGACTTTGAGAAATGTGTTTATAAAGTATGTAAACAGACCTCCAGTGTGTTCTTCGGCATCATATTGTGAATTTTTTTTGAAATTCCAAACCTCAAAAATCTTAACAATACGATACCCTAAACTAAGTGCCTTCTTAATTTCTTCCGTTACCCATGTACCGGTAATGTGGCGTTCTTCCTCAGAATGTGTACATTTATCTAACTTCTTTTCACAACAACTACGACATAGAGGAAAGAGTAATTTGTTATTATAGCGATATGGAAGAACAGGATGATATAAACCTCTAGGAGGAGATACTGTACACTGAATCAAACCAAAATATTCAGTGGGAGACTTGAAATTTTCGGTTATAACTTTTGGATGACCGATGGGAAAGTTTTGGTATTTGCATACCCATGGATATAGACTACAAACATCCACATATCTTATTTTATCATCCCCTTCTACCTCCCTGTGTAACTGCGTAGCATTCGTACGTCCACCATAGTACGCTTTCCTAGGGTTCAAAGGTTCAATGTTAGTGAACTGATCCGTGAACATTTTGAGTTCATCACTTTCATTAATTTCCTTTCTGAAATCACATTCCCATTTGGTAACCATCTTATACCCAATGGATCGTAAATCGAATTCTCGCTGTAATGTGTACCGTACACATCCTGAACAGTATTTTTACTCCCAGGAACGAGAGTATCTCGACGGACGTAACATCGAGGGCATCCATGCCATAGACATCCATGAAACTCGTAGATGGTTTTATTTTCTTCGTCATACCCATCTACGCTATAATGACCGATTTTCTTCTCTCCTCCATTCCTAGCATGTTTGATATCAACCTGTTCCTTGTTAATTAACCATGTTAACCATGACAGTAGACAGTAGAGAATGATTATCAGACAAACGGTACCCTCCATTAGGAATTAAACCGATTGTATCTTTCTCTAAAAACATCTTACGGAAAATTACTGAACATGTCGATGCAATCGTAATCTGATGAAAGGGATCAATATTTGTAATATCCATGAAGATATTCCTCATTGTCATGCATCCTTTCATCAGAATATCGACATCGCTCCGACAATACGGAAATCAAATGGTTTGTCTTTTTGAGTTGTGTACCACCTATCAAATTCCACCCGTTGTGCGGATTTTATTTTAGACGGTCTGAAATACTTTACATCGGGTAACGGTCCAACATAACATTGATTCTCCTTGGTGTTAAACATATGAGGGAAAAACCCCTTCTTGAGTTCCGTAAGACCAAAGGTAGACGGAATGTGTGACAAAGGCATTAAGAGAAAGTTCAACGAATCAATCACATGTACATTATTGACCGTCAATGAAAGTATCTTCTTACTATTTAAAATCACCTTGTTCTGAATGGCATTGGACTCAACGTAATTCAAAAGAAAATGTGAATCGTAACCCGATGAATTATGTGCGAGCGCAGTAACATCGAAATCTTCACGAGATGTTGAAAGTATGAAATAGAGTCGAGAGTGGAGATTGGTGAAAGTATGGGAGTCGAGATTGGTGAAAGTATGAGAGTCGAGATTGGTGAAAGTATGAGAGTCGAGATTGATGAAAGTGTGGACATAAAGTCGAGATTAATGAAAGTATGAACATTCTGATTTTTTGACGTGGGAGTCACAAGTGACTTATAACCACAAGTGTTAAAAGTCACTTTTTCCTCGAAAAAATTGTGAGTCTAGATGATAATGAAAAGTCTCTAAGTCATATTCATAAAGTCTTACTACCATAGACACACGTGTTATAATTCAGTTTTTTTTCGAAAAAATTTACAAGTCCAAAATGACAAATCCCTAATTAAATTCGAAAAGTCAAGACCTCAACAAAACCCCATAGACACGCGTGTTATAAGTCCGTTTTTTTCTCGAAAATAGACTATGTCAAAGTTAATGTACACGAGTCAATTAGAAATAGTACGAAAATATTTGTGTACAAAACCTACGGCCGTCCCCATACTCACTGCTATAACTACTATCAAATTACTCCATCCATTCTCTTGGGATATTCTTCAACAAGAAATTAATCTTTCTTCTATCTGTAGAAGGAATATTGAAATCTATAACAAGTTCCTCAAATAGCTTGTTGCCAGGAAGATCGAGGTGGGTTGAATAAGTCAGAAATGGTCAAAACATTTCTATCATACCAGGATGGGAAATAAAAATATTGCTTAGATTTTGAACGAATAGATCTGTTGTACCAAAGAAGCTGACATCCACTCAGTTCAGAGTATTTTGAATCATAAAATTATATAGTCTTAATAATCCGATATCCCAAAGTCATTGCCTTCTTAATCTTTTCCGTTACCCATGTGCCAGTAATGTAACGTTCTTCCTCAGAATGTGCACATTTCTCTAACTTCTCGCTACAACTTGGACACAGAGGGAAGAGTAATTTATTATTGCATCGATATAGAAAGAACAGGAAGATATAACCCTCTAGGAGAAAACACTTTACAATGAATTAAACCAAAACATTTTACGGGGGATTCGAAGTCATTCGGTGATGATTTCTGAATGGTCGACGGATAGCCAGACAACTTGCTCTGGATCTGGCATCAGTGCTTCTCTGCCTCCTTTTGAAAGAAAGGTGGGTGGAATGGCGGGTATTCGGATGGGGAAACATCATCTATTTTTACAACCGTCGAACGTCAAAAACACAGTGGGAAAGTCCGACCAATGGTGTAAGATTTCCAGTCCCTAGAGGTAAAGATGATGTTAGAACTGGGAGACTTCCGATGACGTATCAAGTGCCCAAACTCCCCAGCTTTCCCAAAGGTCTGAAGAGGCCTCGAACACCCGATGCTGCTGAATTCAGCAAGGACATTTACACCATCCCCGGCAGTCAGGACACAGAGTTTTTTAAGCTAGTTGAGCTGAGTGTTGAACATGGTCGAGATGATGGACTTCAAAGTAAAGGAGCCATACTGTATGAGGTGAGTAGTTGTCTAATGTATAAATGAAACAAACGAGAAAAATATATACATATTAAACAATAATCCTACATAATGTCATAAAAAAGATAGGATATGATGTAACCTGATTGAAATTGTATGTTTATGTATTTCAATTACAATTATATTTTTTATATACAGTGCGTCCCAGAACAACGAAAAAAAAGAGAATTGTCGATGTTTTATCATAACTTAATCACAATTATTATTAATAAATGACACATATTTGTAAAGCTTAGATCCTTATCTTTCATTTGATGCAACTGATATGATGCATATTTCACGCATGAGTGATTAAAACAATTTGAAGAGAGGAAACCAAAAAGTCATTTGGCTGGCGGTATCTGAATTTCAAAGAGAAAATCCCATTTCTAGAAAGTTTAATTTCTGCCCTTTCATATGACACCTTAATCAGTAAAGTTCTGTTTGTTTAAAGTAATGCTTGCATTTCCATAATTTGATTAAACGAATTCGTTTTCACTGGCTGCCTGCCGTAGCAACAAACAGAGTTGACAAACGACATAACTCCGTTTCGTTGACGATCAGCCATGCACGAAGAAGACGAAATACTTTATTTCACAACAACGAATATCTTGTAACCTAAATGATATGTATAATCCATAAATTAATACTACATGATGTGTAAAATTGAAAACCATGAATATCTTGTACCCTAAATGATATTTATATATTATTCGGATCCATGAATAACTTGTATCCTAAATTGTATTTATATATTAGTTTGAGCTTTGAGTATATTTTACGATATACTGTGATATATGTATGATATCAAGTTTGCAGTGATGTTTAGGCACAATTGAGGATAAAACCTTGTGTATTGAAAATATAAAAACATGTTAATATGTAACTAAAACAAGTAAGAATGTCAGGTGAGTGTGATCTTGAGTGATATATGGTGTGAAAAAATAGGTTCAGAAAAGCTTTTGACTCACGTGACTTCTTGAAGTCTAGACGTCTTCTCTTGTTTCTCTGTCTTTTCTTTTCTTTTCTCCGAAATGAGCGGCTCTGTTGTATCTTTTATCTTCGATGCAACACATGGAGCTCTAACAGCCATCCTCCTGGTTGCAGCTCTTTACTCTAGACATTTGTTGTTTGAGGTCATTTCCTTGGCTGACGAGTTCCCTGAACTCTATTGTCTCGAAGCTGACACCTATATGTTTGTATATACCTATCCATGCTGAAGCTTGCCTTTTTGATGAAGTTGCGTACATGGATATATACCTTTTTTTTTTTATCAAACACTGTGCTTGTGATGATGAACACCGTGGTGTATTTCGGTTGTCTGCATGCGTCGTCGGTACAACTCCGTCAAAGATGAAAAACATCGCAACATCTCTGTTCAGAAATCTGGCACTATTTTTCTCATGTCTTGTAACGATATCTCCCACCTTATCTCGTAGATTGAGTAATTTGAGCGCACCCTTTTCAGTAAGGTATATCGATGAAGGAGTCATTTTTACTTTACCATCGAATTTATGGAATTGTCGTAGGTGAACGAATACTTCATTGTTATATGAAATAACACTTACGCATTTGGGTCTAAAATCTTCTCCCACACCTATTTGAAATCTAACAAATTCACACGGTGTCTTACCGTTTGGATACATAGTATTCAACAACCCCAACCCTTGCTCTATAAGACTTTGTCTGTCTCCTCAATTTCGAATCTGTGAAATATCCATCCAGGAGATCAACATCAGAACTTTCCGAACTCTCGAACCATCGACTCTATCGTAAGTGAACGAATGCTTCACCATTGTAAGAGATAACACTTTCGTATTTATATGAGGTGAGTAGTTCATGTTTGTGATGATAAATTCCAAAAACTAGGAGAAGAAGCCGGAGAAGAAGAACAATTTATTATGTTGATAGTGACTAAGCGTCACCAACAACCGTTGTGAAGACCTTTCTGTAGCTATACAAATACCTTCTATTGTTTGGACACTTGACCAAGAAGATGCTCGTTTTAAAGTTGGTCAACCGGGCGATCGTGATGGATGACAGCACAAATATCGATCCCTCTCAAGAAAGAGCTATTGACCCAGTACGGAGACTGGAGGTAGTATTATTAACCTGTATCAAATGTATACTGATCATTTTCTTATGAAGAAAAACAAAACCACTTATTGTATGTAATGTTAAAGCAAACAGCAGAAAGACATTAACATCAGCATAGGTGGAACCAAACTACTACAGGTGGGTACCTGGGAGGTACCATCACTCAATCAGGAAAATGTGCAGAAGACATAAAGAACAGGATTGGAAAAGCCCTGGGTGCTGTTCAAAGTCTTCACATCATATTGACAGCCAAAGACATTGTTACAAAACTTGAACTATACAGTGCGTCCCAGAAAAAACGAAACCGAGAATTATAAATGTTTTATCAGCTTAATCACAATTACAATTGATAAATGACACATATTTGTAAGGCTTAGATCCTCCTCTTTCATTTGATGCAACTCATAAGGCATATTTCACGCATGAGTTATTAACATGAATTTGAAGAGAGGAAACCAAAAAGTCATTTGGCGGACGGTATCTGAATTTCAAGGAGAAAATTACATTTCTAGAAAGTTGAGTTTCTGCCCTTATATTATGACAACTCAATCAGGAAAAATGAGCTAGGAATAACAAAGTTATGTTCGTTTAAAGTAGTGCTTGCATTTCCATAATTTGATTAAACGAGTTCGTTTTCACTGGCTGCCTGCCGTAGCCACCATGGGTGTCGATCCCGGGGGGGGGGGGGGGGGGGTGGGGGATATATCCCCCCAATATTTCAGGTGGGGGGGGGGGGAGTGGCCTGTACAATCATCCCCCCAATAATTCACCATCACCCCCCCCCCCCCCAAAAAAAAAAAAAAAAAAAGTGAAGAGAAAAATTAATGATGAGAGCCCGATGGAGAGTAGTTAATGGTTATTACTCGCAAGATGACCATCAATATACACATTTTGCTATCACATTTTCATAATACATACATATATAAATAGAAAACGAAGTAAATGAGACAACCTTATAGGAGACAAGAATAAATTGAAATCTCGCTCATACGGTTTCATCAGGAATTGATGGATGTATACAATTTATTCAATCAACAGCATTATAGAAATGCAGTGCGCCAAATGCAAAGCCGCAGCGTTAAAAAGCAACGAGCTAAATGTTAAGCGCAAAGCGCAAAAGTGCAAAAAAGAAGTAGAGAGTGGGAGAGAGAGATAATGAGAGACAGAGAGGATACAGGCGCGTATGCAGGGGGCGGGGGCGGTCGCCCCCCCCCCAAAAAAAAGAGAGAGAAAGAAGAAAGGAAGAGGACGTTGGAAGAAAAAGGATTATATTAAGAGTCGAGAACGGTACAACGAATCGTCTTGTTTCTCTAATAATTTAATGAAACGTCAAAGCTTCCGCGCTACGCGGAGGAAGGGGAACCTGGTTCAAACAAGGATTAAGAGTCGAGAATTAACGGTACAACGAATCGACTTCTTTCTCTAATAATTTAATGAAACGTCAGAGCTTCCGCGCTTCGCGCGGGAGGAAACTCCACCCCTGCACCCCCCTAGGGAACGCGCTTCGCGTGCTCACTACCGCCCCCCCTAAAATAAAATCCTGGCTACGCGCTTGAGAGGATAATAACCCAGGTACAAAGCCCATATGGGACCCACATGGGTCCCATATTATCTGAAATGTTATCTTTATCGAGGGTGACTTGAAAAAAGTTAATAACTTGGAAGGGAGGGGTGCAACCTGCCGTACGCTTCTACCTCTTGGTTGCTTTGATCCATTGCCGAAAATATTTTGGCACCTATCATCCCCCCCAACCACGGATACAAATCGACACCCCTGGTAGCCACAAACATAGTTGACGACAGACTTAACTCCGTTTCGTTGCCAATCAGCCGTAGACAGGGAAAGAAGAATCCCAAATCAGTTTGCGAGAGGATATGAAAATGTTAAATGTGTCGTATAAATGTAGATACCAGATGTAATAAGAAACAGAAATGTGGTACGATTTTAGATAAGCAATACGCAGAAACATCAGTGTTACTTGTTGACCTTGAATGAAAGATCAAAGAAATGGAAAGGCAAACCATGGGCAAAAATTATTATAAACTAGAAATTTAATTCGTCATGGGGACGAATTAGGTGGTCTGTCTTCAAGTCTTATGATGTATTATAATATTTACTATATTGAGAAAGGGAGAAGTTATATAGACATGTAAACAATGATGATCATGATGATGATGATGATCTTGATAGTAATGGGGATGACGACGATGATGATGATGATGATCATGATGATGTTGATGATTATCATCAACAGACCACGATGACATCAGACTGAAAAAAATGAGAGAACATTTAGATAGTATATAGTCTCAGCTACAACATACTCAAAAATCAACAAAAATCAAGCCGAAATAACGGCGATATTGCTCGCAAAAGACAAGAATGTAGAATCCAGATTTGAGAAAAAGTCATCTCCCATAAGGATTACACGCAAAAAGTAATGGATCTAGTGATAATAGGGTAATAATAAAGTAAATATGGTTGTTTATTACATTATTTGCGATTGTACGTGTTTTAATATTCAAAGGAGATGGTAGAGTGAATGGTCAAAAAGAAAAAAAAGTGAAGAAAAAAAAATTGTTGGAGACGCCCGGACTCGAACCAGGGACCTCGATGTCGGAAGTCAAGTGCATTACCGATATACCAAAACATTTCCCATAGAGATTACACGTAAACGGAAAATGGAATGCACAAATCCCACTTTGAAATTGAAATATGAGCATGATCCCGGCATCTGATCGAAAAATAAAGGGCACACTTGTGATAGCTTATTGTCTCAGCTACAACATACTCAAAGTTCAGCGTAAACAAAGCTAAAACGACGGAGATATTGCTCGCAAAAGACAGGATGTAGAATCCAGTTTTGAGAAAAAGTCATGTCCCATAGAGAATACACGCAAAATGTGAAAAATTGACATGCCTCCTTTAATCGCAAAAATACGCCATGATGCCTTTGTCAAAATGAAATATGGTGGTGACTGTATTTGTAGAGAATTGTCTCAGCTAGATCATATCAAAATTTGAAAGAAAATTGATCAATATTGACAGAGATACAGTCTATTTTCCAGAAATCTGCTGACGTCATAATATGCAAATTGAAATTTTGAGTTGGGAGGCCATTATGATGACGTCATGAGTTAATTGAGGGTCAAATGAGACATGAAATCATATTTCCAATTCATACTCTATCAAAATATGGAAAAAAAATTGGGTTCAACTTGCATCCTAAAGCGCTACAATGGATTTTGTATAGGCATGTTTTTGCCCATGTATGCTATGTATTACGAGAGCTCGCACGCACGGACATTATCTTAAACGGACGCTCATTCCGTTATTACTGGTCAGAAAAAGGTGAACAAGGTATCAAAATGCTTGGAAAAATGTGTCAAACATGATGACAGAAAAAATTCAGCGATTCTATGTTGCAAAATATCAGTACGCGCGAAAACGCGCGCCCATCCGCGTGTGCGCGTTTTTTTGCAAAATGCTTGAAATGGCCTGAAACGTATGCAAACTTAATTTGAGACGATTTAAAGCATTTTTATTTTTTGCGCGCGCGCTGACGCGCGGACGTACGCATGCGCGCGCATTTTTTGACCTGAAATTGACCGGACGGATATTGACCTTAATCATGATGAATATGAATGAGAAATGCCTTTCCGTTATGAAGATATGATCATGAGTAAAAAGTACCAAAAAAAACACAAAATGGCGCCTGGATGACGTCATGAAAATTTGATGACCCTGAAAATGTTACTGTCACGTCTCATGACAATGGCCTATGACTGTGCCAAAATTGAAGGAAATTGATTGAACCGATCTTGAGTTATCCTGTGAACAAAAAAGTGTGAAGAAATAAATAAAAATAAAGAATAATAATAATAATAATAATAAACTAGAAATTTAATTCGTCATGGGGACGAATTAGGTGGTCTGTCTTCAAGTCTTATGATAGATTATAATATTTACTATATTGAGAAAGGGAGAAGTTATATAGACATGTAAACAATGATGATCATCATGATGATCATGATGATGATGATCTTGATAGTAATGGTGATGACGACTATGATGATGACGATGATCATGATGATGTTGATGATTATCATCAACAGACCACGATGACATTAGACTGAAAAAAATGAGAGAACATTTAGATAGCATATAGTCTCAGCTACAACATACTCAAAAATCAACAAAAACCAAGCCGAAATAACGGCGATATTGCTCGCAAAAGACAAGAATGTAGAATCCAGGTTTGAGAAAAAGTCATCTCCCATAAGGATTACACGCAAAAAGTAATGGATCTAGTGATAATAGGGTAATAATAAAGTAAATATGGTTGTTTATTACATTATTTGCGATTGTACGTGTTTTAATATTCAAAGGAGATGGTAGAGTGAAAGGTCAAAAAGAAAAAAAAGTGAAGAAAAAAAATTGTTGGAGACGCCCGGACTCGAACCAGGGACCTTGAGGTCTGAAGTCAAGTGCGTTACCGATATACCAAAACATTTCCCATAGAGATTACACGTAAACGGAAAATGGAATTATCAAATCCCACTTTGTAAGTGAAATATGAGCATGATCCCGGCATCTGATCGAAAAAAAAAGGGCACATTTGTGATAGCTTATTTTCTCAGCTACAACATACTCAAAGCTCAGCGTAAACAAAGATAAAACGACGGAGATATTGCTCGCGAAAGACGAGAATGTAGAATCCAGTTTTGAGAAAAAGTCATGTCCCTTAGAGAATACACGCAAAATGTGAAAAAATGACATGCCTCCTTTAATCGCAAAAAAAACGCCATGATACCTTTGTCAAAATGAAATTTTGTGGTGAC